ATACATCCAGTGGTCCACTTTTAACATTTGTAGATATTTTCTAACGATTTTGCATATTTTGTTAAATTATTACTCTTTTAGGTTTCTTATAAATGATAATTACGGTACAAATATTAAGGAAAAAACAATTAATTTTTCTGTTTAGGTGAACTATTTTGGAGTTGAATTAATAAGATGGAAAATTTTTATGTGTATTTTGTTATGAGTGCATCTTCTATGATAACTTTCTACTACCAACGGTAAAGATAGAAAAAAAATTTTGAATGGTGAAAGTTACTTTTTAAAAAACAAACAAAAAAGTGGTAACACTCAAAATTTAAATCCAATTTGTAATATTTTGTGGTTTAAATATTTTTATATATGAAAAAAAGAATACCTCTAACGGGCAGATTGATAGTGACACACGGAAGTAACTTTAGACTCTCGAAGTCTCTCTCAAATAGGAAACGAAGCATTGAAATGATAAACGTTGTCTTCTGTGAATCTTTTTTGTGTTTTCTTTATTGGCAAATCCACTTTAGATCTGATTTCGTTATGTTCGGATAAAGTTTGGTTAAAGAATTATCAGTATGGTATGGTCCAGTAAACAAGTTCGACCAATATTTAAAAGAATTAATCACAATTAAACTCAAAAAATTACATAGCTACTAATAGTTGCGGATTTAAAAAAAAAAAAAAGCTTTATGGTAATTGAAAGATGGGTAGGCTAAGTGTCACTTAAAATGGAGCGTTTAATTTCATTAGTCAAATTTTGTATTTATTTTCTTTGATAGTTTGACACACCTCCACCAAATTCATTAACCTTTGAAATAATATACAAGAAATAGTCCAATTTTGACAACAAAAAAGAAAAACAAAACAGTCTAGTTGAAAAAAGAAGAACATTCTAAAATAATCTACAATAGATAAGATATAAAGAACACAATATTATCCAGTAATAAAATCAAAAATCACTCAGTAATCTCTATAATGATAGTTTTAATTTTTTTTATAGTAATTATATATTTACCATCGGATTCCATTACCAGAAAACAAACGTGTAATGCTTTTTCAT